AGACATAGCGAAAAAAACGTTCAGCGACGGGCTAAGAGTAAGATGACGTAGAGAGATAGGAAGCCATGGCAGAGAGGAGAGTGTTATCGGGTGGGAGTCCATCATATCTACCACAGCCCACAGGGGGAAGTGGTGAGGATAGCATGTAACAAGAGCTAGGGGAGCAATGGTTATCTGCCAAATAAGTAAGAACTGGAGATTTGGAACCGACAACCCCCTGCCCATACTCTGTCGTGCCAAATAGGATATGTTTTGCTAATTTCTGGGTCGAAGAAGAACCCCCAAATAAAGGACAAAAGTTTTCGCTGGTGGATACTGCAATATATGCGAAAGGTACTGGAACCGGCAAACACGAAATAGGTACAAATAGTTTTCGGAAGATAGGTCATTAAACGGATTGCATAAATACTTCTGCCCAACCAAGAAATTTGGAAATGAACCAGGAGGACAATAGCTCAGTCAAGCTCCTCATGAAAGACAGCGGGAAAATTATCCTGATACAGTCCGTCGAGAGCATATGTCGGGGTAAAGCCTTAAATGGCCTAAATATGGCAAGGCCGAAAGCCATTGAAAAGGAATGTTTGTTTCAAAGTAGTCAAAAGTGAATGTGGAATGGTAACTGACATAGCCCTGGATTTAGCAGGGTTGACATGAGGTAGCCTGAAAGGATCGCAAAAGAATCGAGGACCGCGAGCAAATTGGGCAAAGTAACCCCCGGGTTCGAGATTGACAACAGTATGTCGTCTGCAAACAAAGACAATTTAATGATGGTAGCCCGCCACAAATCAATCCCCTTAAATCAGATGCATACGAAAAGGCTTCAGCCAATGTTCCAAGGCTAAAATAAAAAGCAAAGGGGAAAGCGTGGCAGCCTTGTCTAGTACCTCTGCAATCGAAAACGTAGAGGACTCAAATCCATAGTATCTAAGCTCGCTTGAGGGGATTGTGTATAGCGAAGAGAATCCATCGTAGGAACGAAGTACCTCAAAGCCAAAGCGGTGAAGGACCGATAGGGAGGTATGGCCAAGATAGAGTGTCAAAGGCCTTGTTGATGTCTAAGGATAAGAGCATCATATCTGAGTTTATGAGTATGGGCAAAATGTCGCAGTTGTAAAATACGTCTGATAGCGTCTCCGGCCTGCCATATGGGGTGGTGAACAAACTCCTCTACCTGGTCCTTTTCTGATCAGGCGAGAAAGGAAGGAGTTCAATCGAGTAAGCCAAAATCTTTAAGTAAGAATCTTCATGTCAAATATTGATGAGAGAGGATAGGCCTTATAATTTGCCCAGGAAAAGTGATCTCGATCCGGTTTAGGGATCATAACCACATTAGCAGTTTAAAGCATCCGGGAAAAATTTATTGAACCGTCCCTTCACCGCGTTAAACATAGCGGCAAGGTGAGGAGCGAGAAACATCAGCTAATTTCTCTTATAGTATAGTGCTGTGTATCCATCAGGACCTGGGTGCTTACCCTTTTCAGGTCTGCTATGCATTGCAAAACCTCAGAACTTGAATAATTACGGTCCATCAAGTCCCTATACGCCGACGTTAAAGTTGGCAGGGGCAGACGGCGGATAAAAAGTCAGAAATGGACTGAGGATCAGCCCAGGTAGGATCAAGTACCGTTTAGCTAGTCGCATACCCCGAACTCAACTCCAAAACCGCCACAGGATTGCTCGTAACGGGTATTGTTGATTAGTACGTAAAGATATCGGTTTGGTGATGCTGCGCGAAAGAACGCAATCTACGGGCCAACATAGAGTCCGGTTTGTTTTCCTTTACTATACTACTTCTGGAGAGTCCAACGTAAGGAGCGCTCAGCCTCATCCGTTAAGCAAAGATCCAATTCCAAACGAGCCTGATCCATACATCTACGATTCGACGGGAAGGCAACTGTTTAAATTGGGTCGACGCCACCTAGAGGAGGCATATCCTTTGATTCCAAACTGAGAGACAGCTGTTTATGTAAACTGTCTTTCCTTCTTTCCGCCTGAAGCTATTTGGATAATATGTCCCCTAAGAACTGCCTTGTACGCTTCCCAAACTGTTACTGAAAAGAGACAGAGGCCCGAGTTTAATTGTGAAATATTCCTGAGATTTACGATGTAGTTCCGCCTGAATCTCCTTCAGTGAAAGCAAATAGAGTCATTCCTATTATCCATGAGGAGAAGGCCGGCCTACAAGGAGAGATCGACAGACCACCAAAATAGGAATCATGATCTGACCATGGGACCGTTAAAATAGAAATAGAGCGAACTAAAGGAGGTGTTTACGTGAAACGAAAGCATGATCAATTCTGGAATGAGAATGATGAGGGTGTGAATAGTAAGTATAGTCTTTCCCCCGAGGATGAAATTCATGCCATAAATCTACTAAATCATGGGTATCTAACGCACGTACAAAGGACTTCGCTGACATGCGGAAGGGTCAGAACGCTCCGCTGGATATTTATCCAAGGTAGGATTTAGTACTAAATTTGAATCCCCTGCCATCAAAAGCGTACCCTGTTGATGTGAGCCAAGAGTGAACATAAATGTGACAGAAAAGGTCTAGGATTAACGTTTGGGAGCGTAGTAGGACAGTATGGTAACATCTATCCATTAATCGTGCCCTGAAGCAGAAGGTAATTTGCCATTGGGATCAGCAATACGCCTCACACAAACAAACAGAGTTTTACTATGAAAGGCGACCAAGACGCCTCTCTGTTTAGTGGTGTCATTAGCCTGAAATACACATAGCAAGAGACAAGAAGAAAGAAACAAAAAAGAAAGGAGAAAACAAGAAGACATCTGATATACAGACAAGATATCTTTGAAGCATTGAGATTGATTTAAACATTATAATAATCAACTATGGGTAAATCACCCTACCCACATAGAGGATATAGGTAGCGGGCCGGGACAAAAAAAAAAAAAACCAGAACCGCTAGCCAGCTCGGAGGGGGACAAGTCGATCGTCCACCGGAACAACTCTTCTCGGCAATAATATAGAATATAAAGAACATATATACAAACAACTTAGGCTAATACACCTATGAATGAGCAATTCGAAACTCGCAGGGCTATGGATATCTCAACCAAACTGTTAGGAATGGACTGGCCAGCAATGGTGGGACTCACCAGCCTTTTGATCTGCAGTACCAGGGCTGGCCAGCGGGTGCTCCCAGCAATCAAATACTCAACCTTTCAGCCAGCTAACACCTGGAACTGATGAATACTGGGGTATTTTAGGGATGGCCAGACTTGCAGACTCTGCCTTGGTGTTGTGTTTCTCTTGGCCCTGTATCCTGTTTCCTGCTCTCTGTTTCTGTCTGATTCTCTGCTACCTGTCCTGATCCCTGGCTTGTGACCCTGACCATCTTCTCTGCTTGACCCTCTGGGTACTACGCTGCTTGCTACCTGCTGAACCTGGCCTGTGACCCTGACCATTCTCTGCTTGCTCCCCCTGTACCTACCTGCCCTATTGATATTGACCCGGTGCCTGCCTGACGACGCTTGCTTGTATATACTGTTATCTGTGGTTGGTTGGTTTGGTTTGGTTGCACTGTGTTATGTTTTAGTATTGCACTGCGTTTATGTTTGTAATTGTTAGTGTTAATAAATTGTATTGTTTATCACATATCTGAAGTCTGCGTTTCCCTGCATCAGTCACACACCTCTGGTCATACCTGGGAGCCCTGACATTACACCAAGGCCAATCCTGACCAGAAGTGGCTGCACAGGGAAGCCATCTTGGCTTGGTTGATGGGAAGGATGGATCTGATGAGGTTGAATATTTATATCTGCTAGTGTTTGATGACAGGGAGTATGCTTATCAGACTCTGAAGGAGTATACCCGGGATGAACTGCTAGAATGTATACGGCTCGCTCATGTTCTAGTAGATCAGGGCATATAGAGTTCTCTGAGGTGCAGCCTTTGATTGAAGTTTGTGTGCTGAATTGGTTTCATCTGGTTCCCCCCGAATGCAGGGATGAATTTTTGCCACCATTTAGTGCAGACCAGGTAGAGTCCCTGGTGTGGTTATTTGAGGATGATGTGGGTTACTTTCTGGAGCGTTATTCCACATGTTCACCACAGGTACTAAGAGACTGTATAAACGCAGTGCAGTCATTGACCATCACAGGCTTTGTGTAAGCTCAGCTTTGTTCAACCCATACTGCAGACATGGACAGATTTTGTTGCACCCAGCCTCAGTCAGCTTACAAAGACCCAGTCCTGCTTCTAATCTATTTCCTCAAAACTCTATTCCTGCATTCCCAACAGCTCCTCTGCTTGCCCTGCTATCTACCGCATGTCAGTACCCTGTTCCCACTCGCTGCACCTATCCTGCCTTTAACCCTGTAAAAAAGCCCTCTGTAGCAACCGCCTCCCTCTCCTGTTCCATCCTCCAGTTCTTCTCTGTCTCCAGCTGCTCCATTCGTTTGCAGACCTGCGTTTACTTGCAGTGCTCCAGTAGTTAAAACCAGAAAAAAGCGAAAATTCTTTCCAACCAATACCATCCTGCCAGTATCCAAAACCGGTGAGCCTGCCTTCCGTGGTTCAGCCTGAAGCCTCTCTTCAGCCTGATGCCGGTACGCAGCCTGATACCTCTCTTCAGCCTGATGCCTGTACGCAGCCTGATGCCTCTCCTCGGCCTGATGCCTCTACTCGGCCTGAAGCCTCTACTCGGCCTGATGCCTCTACTCTACTCGCCTGATGCCTCTACTCGGCCTGAAGCCTCTACTCGGCCTGAAGCCTCTACTCGCCTGAAGCCTCTACTTGGCCTGATGCCTCTACCCAGCATGATGAACTGATCCAGCCTGACGATCCTATTAGGCCAGTTGACTCGATGCCCGCTGTTGATCCAGATGATCCGGTACCTGATCCGGTGGCCCGCTGTCGAGCCAAATGACCTGATGCCTGGTGACCCAGTGCCCGCTGTCATACCTGGTGACCCGATGCCCGCTGTCGAGCCAGACAATCCGGTACCTGATGACCCGGTGCTCACGGTCGTGCCTGTTGACTCGGAGCCCACTGCCTTGCCAGATGACGCGGTGCCCGCTGTCAAGCCAAATGACCTGATGCCTGGTGACCCAGTGCCCGCTGATCCAGCCAGACGATCCAATGTCTGACCCAGTGCCCGCGGTCATACCAGTTGACTCGGAGCCCACTGCCTTGCCAGATGACGCGGTGCCCGCTGTCGAGCCAGACAATCCGGTACCTGATGACCCGGTGCTCACTGTCGTGCCTGTTGACTCGGAGCCCACTGCCTGCCACGTTGACAGATGACGCGGTGCCCCGCTGTCAAGCCAAATGACCTGATGCCTGGTGACCCAGTGCCCGCTGTCCAGCCAGACGATCCAATGTCTGACCCAGTGCCCGCGGTCATACCAGTTGACTCGGAGCCCACTGCCTTGCCAGATGACGCGGTGCCCGCTGTCGAGCCAAATGACCTGATGCCTGGTGACCCGATGACCGCTGTCCAGCCAGACGATCCAATGTCTGACCCAGTGCCAGCGGTCATCCCAGTTGACTCGGAGCCCACGGTTGTGCCTGGTGACTCGGTGCCCGCCGCCCCGCCTGGGGGCCTGAGACCTGTCGTTCCGCCTGGGGGTCCGGCACCCCCCACTCCGCCGCCTGAGGGTCCGAGACCTGTCGCTCCACCTGGGGCTCGTGCCCAGCCTGGCGCCCGCCGCTCCGCCTGAGGGCCCGAGACCTGTCGCTCCATCTGGGGGTCCGAGACCTGTCGCTCCATCCGGGGTCCGGCGCCCGCCGCTCCGCCTGAGGGTCCGAGACCTGTCGCTCCGCCTGGGGCTCCGGCGCCCGCCGCTCCGCCTGAGGGTCCGAGACCTGTCGCTCCGCCTGGGGGGCTTCCGGCGCCCGCCGCTCCGCCTGAGGGTCCGAGACCTGTCGCTCCGCCTGGGGCTCCGGCGCCCGCCGCTCCGCCTGAGAGGGCCCGAGACCTGTCGCTCCACCTGGGGGTCCGGCGCCCGCCGCTCCGCCTGAGGGCCCGAGACCTGTCGCTCCATCTGGGGGTCCGGCGCCCGCCGCTCCCGCCTGAGGGCCCGAGACCTGTCGCTCCGCCTGGGGGTCCGGCGCCCGCCGCTCCGCCTGAGGGCCCGAGACCTGTCGCTCCCGCCTGGGGGTCCGGCGCCCGCCGCTCCGCCCCTGAGGGCCCGAGACCTGTCGCCCTCCCCCTGGGGGGTCCGGCGCCCGCCGCTCTTCCTGGGGAGGGCCCGAGACCTGTCGCTCCGCCTGGGGGGGGGGATCCGGCGCCCGCCGCCCCGCCTGGGGGCACGATGCCCGTCGCCCCGCCTGGGGGCACGATCCCTGTCGCCCCGCCTGGGGGCACGATCCCTGTCGCCCCGCCTGGGGGCACGATGCCTGTCGCCCCCGCCTGGGGGCACGATGCCATGTCGCCTGTCGCCCCGATGCCTGTCGCCCCGCCTGGGGGCACGATGCCTGTCGCCCCGCCTGGGGGCACGGTGCCTGTCGCCCCGCCTGGGGGCACGGTGCCTGTCGCGCCCCGCCTGGGGGCACGGTGCCTGTCGCCCCGCCTGGGGGGCCCGGTGCCTGTCGCCCCGCCCGGGGGCCCGGTGCCTGCTGCTCCGCCCGGGGGCCCGGTGCCTGCTGCTCCTCCCGCCCGGGGGCCCGGTGCCTGCTGCTGCTGCTCCGGGGGTACGCCCGGGGGCCCGGTGCCTGCTGCCCCGCCCGGGGCCCGGTGCCTGCTGCTCCCGCCCGGGGGCCCGGTGCCTGCTGCTCCGCCCGGGGGGCCCGGTGCCTGCTGCTCCGCCTGGGGGCCCGATGGCCTGCTGCTGCTGCGGGGGCCGGTCCCTGCTGCTAAACCCGATGTGCCTCTGCCCGGGAGTCCCGGTGCATGCCTGCTCCCGCTGGGGCCCGTGCCCTGCCTGCTGCTCCGCCCGGGGGCCCGGTGCCTGCTGCTCCGCCCGGGGCCCGGTGCCTGCTGCTCCGCCCGGGGGGATGCCAGCTGCTCCGCCTGGTGGCCCGCTGCCTGCTGCTGCCTGCCTGCCTCTGCCCGGAGTCCTGCCCGATGTGCCTCTGCCCGGGTCCTGGCCCGATGTGGCCTCTGCCCCGGAGTCCTGCCCGATGTGCCTCTGCCCGGAGTCCTGCCCGATGTGCCTCTGCCCGGAGTCCTGCCCGATGTGCCTCTGCCTGATGTGCCTCTGCCTGGTGTGCCTCTGCCCGGTGTGCCTCTGCCCGGTGTGCCTCTGCTCGATGTGCCTCTGCCCGGAGTGCTGCCCGATGTGCCTCTGCCCGGAGTGCTGCCCGATGTGCCTCTGCCCGGAGTGCTGCCCGATGTGCCTCTGCCCGGAGTCCTGCCCGATGTGCCTCTGCCCGGATGTGCCTCTGCCTGGTGTGCCTCTGCTCGATGTGCCTCTGCCCGGTGTGCCTCTGCCCGGTGTGCCTCTGCCCGATGTGCCTCTGCCCGATGTGCCTCTGCCCGATGTGCCTCTGCCCGGTGTGCCTCTGCTCGATGTGCCTCTGCCCGGAGTCCAGCCCGGTGTGCCTCTGCCCCGGAGTCCAGCCCGGTGTGCCGCTGCCCGGAGTGCCAGTCTTTGATATCCCGCCAGTTACCCAGACCCGGCGGTGGAACATTTTGCCCAGCTAGGACTGTTTGGAGCGTCCTGAGGCCGCTCCTTGAGGGGGGGGTACTGTTAGGAATGGACTGGCCAGCAATGGTGGGACTCACCTGCCTTTTGATCTGCAGTACCAGGGGCTGGCCAGCGGGTGCTCCCAGCAATCAAAGACTCAACCTTTCAGCCAGCTAACACCTGGAACTGATGATACTGGGGTATTTAAGGGATGGCCAGACTTGCAGACTCTGCCTTGGTGTTGTGTTTCTCTTGGCCCTGTATCCTGTTCCTGCTCTCTGTTCCTGTCTGATTCTCTGCTACCTGTCCTGATCCCTGGCTTGTGACCCTGACCATCTCTCTGCTTGACCCTCTGTACTACGCTGCTTGCTACCTGCTGAACCTGGCCTGTGACCCTGACCATTCTCTGCTTGCTCCCCCTGTACCTACCTGCCCTATTGATATTGACCCGGCCTGCCTGACGACGCTTGCTTGTATATACTGTTATCTGTGGGTGGTTGGTTTGGTTTGGTTGCACTGTGTTATGTTTTTAGTATTGCACTGCGTTTATGTTTGTATTGTTAGTGTTAATAAATTGTATTGTTTATCACATATCTGAAGTCTGCGTTTCCCTGCATCAGTCACACACCTCTGGTCATACCTGGGAGCCCTGACACAATCAGTGCAGAGAATACTAACATCCACTCCGGATTGGAAGAGACAAAACACCCAAAGGTATGAAATCCCTGATCAAATCTAGAGTCAAATCTAGAAAGTGGCAGCAAAAATCCGCACGTAACGAAGCTATAAACTGGCGGCCAGCCACTAAACATCAAGTCGCGGAGACTTCCTGAAAGTGCTGGGCTTGTAGGGATCGAAGAGCCTGGGAACCACTTTGACTAGGAGGAGATTTACGCGAAGCCTAGGAATTTCGAAGACGCATAGGAATTGAAGTCTCTTCAGTCTGGGATTGCGGCAGTTCCAGGTTAAGCTCCCGAAAGTGACGTCGAAGATCCGCTGGTGAGGAGGCCTGGCATTGATGGCCTTGATAGGAGAATGTTGAGCTTGAAAGGGAAGCCCCATCTGTACTTGATGTCAGCAGAATGAAGAATCTCTAAAGATCTCCGTTCTTTAGTGCGGTAAAAGTGGAATTTAATAATGTCTCTGGGAGGACCGTCTGTAGGCTTGGGTGCTAGAGCTCTGTGGATACGGTCAAACTCCAGACGTTCCATGGGAATCTCAGGGGCCAACTCCTGGAAAAGAGCAGTAGCAGTACTCTGCAAATCGGTGATCACCTCGGGATTCCGCGAATGCGGAGATTATCCCTGCTTGCTCTATTCTCAGCATCCTCCAGCTTATCTTTTAAAGTATCCAGCTCAGCATGCAGATCCTCCACTTCCTGTTCATGACCCTCCAAGACTGTAGTCGCCAGATGCATACGTTGCTCTAATTGGTGAGTGCGAAGGCCCAACTCCTTTAGGCCTCTCGCCAGATCAGAAGATAATAATTACGTGAGGCATCGTAATCTCCTCTCGCACTATAGCACGGAATTTGTGTAGCAAGGCTTCAGGATTGTGTTCAAGAGAATCAGCCATCCCCGAGATGGAAATTGCCGCTGACTATTGCCATCGACTCATGGTCACCTGGAAGCTGGGTATTGTCATCAGACTCAGGCAAGCTAGGTAACAGCTTAGCAGCATGGCCCTGCGGAGGGGAGTGCTGTTGGGCCCGATGTTTAAGTTTACTGCGGGGGCTGCGGGTGCATTATTAAAAGTAGGGTCCACAAGATTTCAAAACACCTTCAGGCTGTTAAAGTGATACACTAGGGTGTAGAAGCTCAGTGGCCGAGAGAAATATTTCGGTGGCACAGCACAGAGAGGTCAGACTGACATTTTCCTCCTGGCTCGTGTACGTGTCCACCACCCGGAAGGTGTTCACAGAAGATCCTTCATAGCGCTGCAGCCAGTGTGAAATGTAGATGGCTATAGCAGCAAGGCCCGGGTATGCAGGTTTTTATATTGGCTGCCAAACGATACCCCAGGCACCCCTGATTTGTCCACATGGGGAGGGGATCAACAAAAAAAGCCTCTTCACCCATCCAGCATCACTCCTGCCCTTATACAGATCCCCAGTATCTCTCTGGAAACTGCTGTGGGGATATGGTACCAGCTACAGGGCCACCAGGAGAATCAGGGACTCCCCCAGCCTGTCCCAGCAGCTGATCTGTCTCCTGAGTCGGATGGGCAGAGCGGTGGTGCGGTGGTTACAGCAGCGGCGGCGATCCACCCCAACCGCGGATTCAGGAAACACCACGGCTTCACACGCCGCGGTAGGCCGCAAATCGCCCCGCGCCCCGGATGCTCGGGGAAAGAGCAGAACAGTTCAGCACCCCTCCCCAGGCTTCAAACAAGGTCCCGGGCAGCGGGGGATCCTCAGCTGATGGCCGCTTTTCTTGAGGATGGCGGCGGATGGGGATTCAGGATGCCGGAGCTCAGAGGAAGACGTCCGCTCACGAGAAGCCGCCATCTTGGACACGCCCCCCTCTTCAAGTATTCTGATGGATTCAAACTGATCCATGATCCCTGGTATGCAATAAATAGGCCTAACACTGTAGTATGAGAAACATCCCCATATCATGATGCTTGCGCAACCATGCTTCACTGTCTTCACAGTGTACTGTGGCTTGAATTCAGTGTTTGGGGGTTGTCTGACAAACTGTCTCCAGTCACTAGATCCAAAAAGAAAATTCTTACTTTCATCAGTCCACAAAATGTTGCGCCATTTCTCTTTAGGCCAGTCAATGTGCTCTTTGGCAAACTGTAACCTCTTCAGCACGTCTTTTTTTTCAACAGTGGGACTTTGCGGGGGCTTCTTGCAGATAGCTTGGCTTCACATAGGTGTCTTCGAATTATTATTATTATACAGTATTTATAAAGCGCCAACAGTTTCGCTCAGCGCTTGTACATTACAAAGGGAGACAGAACATGCGACAGTACCATAACAATACAATGTGATACACGAGGGGTTCGAAGGCCTTGCTCCTTCGAGCTTACAATCTAGGAGGGAGGGGGATAGTGGTACAGGGAGGAGATAGCTGTGGGGATGGGAGTGGTAGGAAGAGTGGAGGTGTAAGGGACCGCCCGACGGTACCACTAGCACTCCACTGAATAGGCGTCCCAGCGCAAGGAGTCTAAGTCCAGGGTGCTTGTTCACCCAGGGCCCCTGATTGGTGGGGATGGACTTGGAACCCCCCGAGATCAGGTCGTGGCTACTGGGTGCGTCCGGTCAGTGGTAGTGGTATGCGCCAAGGCTCCCACGGGAAAGAGTCTGATGTGAGGAGGTCAGAAGACCCCACTGCGAGGGATGGGCGGATGGATGGATGGTATGAGGCGAATGGTCAGACGGGCCGGGTCGGTAACAGAGAGGACGGTTTAAGGTACAACTGGCATTGCGGGTCAGAGAATGGTCGGGACTACACACGCCAGGTCTGCAAAGAGCAGGTCAAATCTAATAGGGGGCATCCCAAGGAGAGAGTGTCAGGAAAAGCAAGGGTCCAGAATAGGAGAA